TTTCCTACCCTTGGTCTTGGCCAATAGTCCTCTCCCCATCCAGCTGTCTCAGAGTCACCCTCTGATGAGACAAGTTGAAGACAACGAGATGGACTCTAGCAGCGCAGTGTTAGCTGGAAAGGGCAGGTTTTTTCCTAACAAGAGGTAGTAGGACAGAAGCAGCTCTCCATCAGCTTGTGCCCCATATCCAAGCCAGGGATTCAGGAGAGTGCTTCCTTCTGAGGACCAGCAGCACATTGAGGAGGTGCTTACCTGGAAGGCCATGGAGTTTGCAATAGTCAAGAAGATCCGCAGGGGCAGCGTGGCTTTGTAGGACCGATGGCTCCAGAGGCGGTGAGATCCAGCTGTTATTCCCAGGGCACTCACCAGGAAACACAGAACAGCTGGAGAGGAAAAGAAAGCATTGGAGTAATTAGAGCAAGTTGGCCTGCCGCAAAGTTTCAGGAAGAGCAACACAAAGGCAGGTCTTCCCCCAAAGCTGTATAGGCAAGAGAAGAACCCATGGAGAGCACAGATTAGGACAACAAAAATCAACATTAGAGTCCCCAAGCTACCACAGGCTTCCTAAGCAACATGGGGCAAATCACTTCAGCTCTGACAAGGGAGGAGGCTCCCTCTTACAAGACTTGTCACAAGAGTTGGTTCTTCAGTGTAGTGCCATCTGTCATGGTTCAGGATTGTCAAAATTGTATAAAGCGACTGCTTCCATATAGCCCTGTGGTAACAGCTCTGCAGTCTACCAATGAACCGCCTCCCCCTTTCCTCCCACTCTGAATAATCAAGGGTCTTGCTTTCCTATCTTATCACTCCTCACTAAATCTCTTTTGCATTCTTTTCACCTAAAGGTGGTAGATGATCTTAAAGTTCTTCAGGGGTATAGCTCAAGCCCGGGGTTAGGCTTCTCTTCTGCTCCCTTTCTGAGAAGAAGCTGGCTAGAAAAAGATCTAACCTACCATCCCACTGAACCCTGGGCTTCACCTTCAGCTCCACCACTCGCTTTAAATCTGCACAGTGGCTTCTGGTCTCAGGGTCTTTCTGATCCTCCCCTCTGCTCAGCTCCTGCACCATTTACAGAAGGAAACTCCAAAGCCAACAACTCATTGCAAGTCATGCCCACAGCAGAGGCAGATGTTGCTGGGCTCAGTTGAGCTTTGAGGCTTCTTCATATGTTCCCTCTCCCCACGGGTCAGAAGGAATTCCTTGCCCCTCTGGCAGCTAGTAAAAAACCACATCCCTCTCCCTCTGCATGGTGTGTTTATGTCTGCCCTGGTCTGTGTGTTCCCACATGTCCTCCTGGGACTTCTGGAATTTAATCTGGGTTCCAGCATCTGGTCCTAAAACTAAAATGGAGAAAAGACCCCAATAAGGTCATAGCAGCATTACATTAGGAAGCTGGGAATAAGCAGAAAATTGGATCTGAAAATTAACTCTTTCTCTGGGAAGGAAGGGTGAGGAAGTTTGGCAGAAAGATGGAGTGCATTCAACAGCTGTTTTGCCCTGAAAGCTCAGACACTGAGAGGGAAGGGTACACAACTGTGCATAGGTCAACTGATCCACCTTCAGTCTCCTGGGGGAGGGGACACCTTCTTCCCAGTTCCCCAGGGGAAACTCTTTTCTTGGTATAAATTTGCAGATTTCAGCCAACTGGATCAACCACGAAAACAGCTCCTTACCCTTACATGTAAACCCATGGACAGGAATCGCTGGTATGCTTGACAATACCATTCAGTCCAGCCAAATGGCTCTAATCAAGCTTATCTTGAACCCAGAAAATAAATACTCTGCCAGAAACTTGTCTGCAATCAGAGACCCGAGACACACGCAAGGCACTGTTGCCCTGTTCTTTCATTCTAAATAATCCAGGCTTTATTTCCTATCATCTCCTGCTCCCTCTTCCTTCTGTCACCTCCTTTTTGTTTTTCTACATTCCAAACCTAATCTCTTATCCGCTAAAAGCCAGTCTCGGCTGATTTAACATCCTCTTCTGGCCCCTTAAACTTGCATGAACCCTCCTCACTCCCATCCCGCTGTGCAACAGTGACCTTCCCTGTCTGCTGATCTGACCATGACTTCCCATCTTCATCTTCTCCCTTGGCTTCCCCGCTGGCTGCTGAATGCAGTGCAAGCCTTGGACCAGCACACCTCTGCCTCCTGTTGCCCAGCACCTCTGTGGTCTCCTGGGGCAGCCAAGCAGTCACTGGTCATAGCTGATTTACAGGGCATGGAGAGGGATGAAAAGGCACGCAAATGCTGCAGGATCCAGCCTTTGCAAGAGGCAATGGAGCTGAGCAAAGCTCATGAAGCTGGCCAAACCTGGAAGGTGAGAAGGGAGGGATGCTGGAGCAGGGCGTTTGGTTCAGGTCTCCCTTTGGCCACACTGACAGCAAAGTACTTATGCTGGACACCTTGAAGGTCTCACCCGGCCCCATGATGCTGACTTGAAAGTTATGAACCAGCTCATGACAAGTTCCCCATTGGTTTTAGATTTTAACTCATTTTCAAATCAGTCACTATTCCCACAGATTCATACAGAAGAGCAAACCTTGAAAAAGCACCTAACATATGACTGATTTGCAGAACCTTTCTGGCCTCAGACACTGCAATAACAACAAAACCCGCTCCTGGATGTTTCAGATACTTCCTACTAGCGGCAGAAGTGTGACTCACCACCATCCTCCCTTGAACATAAGCAGCTATACCCTACAAACCGCATTTCATAAAACCTCTGGGCAAGTTTATCCCTACAGTGCACACCTCAGTAGCTGAGGTAGATTTCCAAGGGTGACAAGCAGTTTATGACAGAGCTCCAACCTATACAGACTCTATGAAAACCACCAGAGAGGGAGTCCGTGATAAACTACAGCAGCTTGCAATGCATGTGTGGGGCAGCTTGCTAGCACTGTGGGGCAAGGAGGCGTGAGTTAATGGTGCACTGGGGACAGAAGTGAACTAGGCAACCTTTCATGGTCTTCAATAGCACTAGAAAGGAAATGCCCTGTTAGGTGAGTACAGGCCCTATTTATAGGCCTGAGTTCAGGCTTCCCTCTCTGGTAAATCCTCACATGCTGATTGGGATTTTTTTTGGTAGAAGAGGCCTCCAGGAAGAGGACTGTGGTATTTAAGCTTTGCGAGAAGGAAGATCATCTCTCTCTCTTTTATACAGGCAATTCTCAGAATTTGCCTGTGGACATCCCCCTCAGGGAAAAGATGACACCAGCAATGAAGGCCTACCAGCGAGCACAAGGAATCACAAAAGAGACATGGTGGGGACACCAACAGACCCAGAAACCAAACGACCCAGTACTTGCTTTCGGGTAGCCTTGCCTGAAAGCTTTTGTTAAAAATTTGGAAGAGTACCCACTACTTTTGGGTGCCCCGGCATAGAACAGTCACAGCCTTCATCCAAAGCCCACGAACCTCAGCAGGTAATGTTGACTTCTCTTGGAGCTGTGTCCCAGGTCACTACAATGGCCACAACTTTCTAATTATAATCCTGTGCTCCTTTGCCTCTTCCCCATATAGAGCAGCTGTAGTTTATCTAAGCAGCAAATCCTTTCTGTGGGCAAGGAGCTGATTCTCAGTGTATGCATACATGGCATCCAACCCCACAGAAACCTAAACCCTACTTGGGAACTATTAGCTCCATCAGCCATACCTAGGAGTTGTTGTGACAGTGATAGGATAGAGACAATAAGATTGAAAACCCTGGTGGAAAACAGAAGAATCCAGCACCCTAATGATTCAGACAGTTCATCCCCGCAAACAGGTACAAAGATGATCATTGCATAGCCAGGGAATCAGTATCTCACAGAGAAGAAGAGAACCTCCTCCGAGATCATCCACTAGGAATGAAATTGGTGGGACAGTAGAGAAGGTGAAATAAAGTGGCACAAGTTTTCACAGCTGCCCTGGGATGCTGCCCCGGGATGCTGCCCCAAACTGAAGGATTTAGGGACTCTATCAGCTGAGGTTTCAAAGTCATCTTCCACATCACGCTTTGAAGTATCCAAGATCCAAAAGACTGGCAACTCACAGGTGATTTTCCCAATGACCCATTCAACTGGAATACAAAGAATTATGACCACGGGCAGTAGTATGCACTCAGTGCTCCAGAAATGAAACCCCAAACATTCCGGATTCAGTCATGTCTATATGACTCACTAGCCTTTACCTCTTCAGGGCCCAGATTCAGACCTCAAGTTATGATGGGAAGCCAGGAATGTGCTAAAGGCATTGTCACCTGCAGTCAACACCAAGGATGTTTACATGAAGAGGTGTCCTTGCTCCAGCAGGTGTCCTTGGGCTTCTGCTCAGTGCGAGGGAAAACTGCAGCCCTGGATTGTTCCCTCCTTGCCTCCCAGTCCTTCTAGCCAGGTGGGTTGTGCTACTCTCAGGAAAAAGATACCAAGCACAAGACAACGTGTAGGCTGAATAAGGGGAACAGTGTTTAGGAGGAGCAATAGGAGCTACTGTCGCTAAAACCTAGCTTCCCTGTCTGGCAAAATCAGAAATTCCCCTCCATGCTCGGAGGAGAAGCATGCCACCTGCTAGTTAAGCCTGGAGAGGACACTAAGTAGAGAGGTGTTGCCAGCAGTAGTCTTGACAGGAAAGTAACAAAAAACTCTAAATGTTTTGCTGGACACATCACTTGGGGATAGTACCGGCCAAGGTTTTCAGGCTGTCAGAATTGCCCAAATCCAGCAAGATGCTCCATGAGCCAAAGATGATGCAGCAGCAACAAAAAATGGTATCAACCCATGTTTCTGCCACCACTGGCATTGCAGGGAGCTGGGGTGTTGTTAGAGCACCACATCAAGAGGAACCATCACTGTTTTACAGACATTGTTGTCCAAGTCAACAGGGGTTAACACAAATATGGTCGTTCTGCTGCACCCGAGGGCCAGGAAGACAACCTGCAAATCATGTTTCCAGGGAGGCTCAGAGCAGTTAGAGAAGAAACTTGCAATCACCTTTGCATCCTGCCCTTCCAGACTCAGTCTCTATGCCGACTGGCAAATGCCGTGAAATCTTCCCTGTGATCCCTGAAACGACTGCGCAAGACTTTGTCAAGTGCAGTGGAGAAGACAGTAAATAAAAGGGGAGCTGGCTAGAAAGCCATAGCGCTGGACGGTCTTGGAGAGCTCTCGTTATGGTAAGCTCTCACCTGATCAACAACACCAGCTCGTTCTGGGAAGCTCTGTACCAGAAAGAGATCAGGGGATACAATGCACACAGCAACGCAGAACAGCAAACAATGATGAAGGCAGGGCTGGAGAGCTTGAGAGACAAAGAGGAATTAGCACACAGAGAAATGAAAACAAAAGCGGACACAGTCACCAATATAACTGGTTTTAGAGGGACAGGAACATCAAGGAGACAGTGGCCTGGATGAAGAGGGTACAAGCAGGAGATTGCTCCTCATAATAAAATACAGAAGGTAGATCAGCTACCAGGCACCACAGCTGCCTGTAGCATCACAGCAGAGAACATCTAGGGCCATGTTAATTTTATATTATATGTACACAGCCTAAGCAGGGAATCATCTGAAAAACAAACAAACATACAAGCAAACCCCCCAGCAGCTCCAGAACTACCACCGGCGGAGCTGCTCTGCCATGAGCCCATGGTGTATTGCTGGGAACAACACAAGTCTGCTGCTTTATCCTTGTGTGTAAAATGGGAACCACATCCCTCTCCTTGATACCAGGGGATGCTGGGAAAATAACAGCAAGCCACCAAGATGACAGCCACAGATGTCTTGTATGTGCTAAAGAAAGGTATGAACTGAGAAAAGGGCAGTGCAAGAAGGAGCAAAGAGCCTTGCTGACAAGCCAGACCTGCGGAGGACCAGAGTATCCCAGTTCCAGTCAGTGCTGGAGGAGAATGGACTATAGGAAAAAGTTCTGACTTGGCTGCAGGGAAGGGTGGTCCTTTCCCAGAATGCAGTCCTGTCCCAGGGATGCAGGACAGGGAGCTCTGTGGAACTACTCCAGCTTTAGTAAGGCAGGATGAATCTTCAGCCAGTCCAGAACAGTGCAGTTCCCCCAAACTCCATGTCCTCCCATTCCCAGAGCATCAGTCACTCCAGAAGCCACCAAGGAATCTCGCAGTGCCTCACAGTGGCAGGAGAGCAACTGGCACTTCAGAGCTGACTGAGGGAAGGGAGCAGAAGGGGCAGGCATCAGGCAAAAAGCAAGGCAGATTCCCACAAAATGCCAAGGGATGCCATACAGATATCCCAAACAGACATGTGGTTGCAAAGACACTGCCTCAGAGACCATTTTGGGGTAAGGTGGGGCGTAGCAGAATGCAAAGCAGCATTAACCTTCCGGATCAAGATGCTCGAGGCCATGGAAGTATTTTAGGGGAGCTCAAGGCAGAAGGGTTGGATAGATTTGGAAATCACGGTGCATCTCAGCAGCTTGAAATGAAACCAGTAAATCCGACCCACCTTTTCCCTCCTCCTTGCCCCATTGCCCTGAGGGTATTTGGCTGGGGTTGGAGGACACAGGCTGTCGGCTCAATGAGCGAGAGCAGCCAGCAGCCCCTGCCCAGCCTCCAGCTCAGAGCCCGGAGATGGGACGGGAGCCTTGGAGCGGGACCGAGAGCCCTGAAACACTCCTCCAAGGTCGTGCTGAGGCTGCATGTTCTGCCCAGCCCTGCCAACCCCGGGGAAAAGTGCAGCCTGTCAGGTTTTCACAAGGGAAAGGGCCAGCAAAGTCTTCTTTCATAATGCCCCCCCAAAAGGCCATGCTGGCTGCACGGGGAACGCGTTGGTAACTCAGGTTTTGCAGATGCTGTACCCAGCCTCTGACCAAGTCCTGTGGTCTCCAGTGATGCTCATCCCCCAGACGTCTGCCTGTGAGGGGCTGAGACAGTCCAGGAGGAAAAGAGTCAGTCTGGGCATCCAGGGAGCCATCTTTTTTCCGATCCAGCTGTGATGCTCGTTGCTTACAGCCATCGGGAGGACAGACTTTGAGCGTGTGACAGACCAGGTGGATCGCTCCAGGGCTGTCCACAGCTGGGCTGGCCAGGACGCTGCTCCCGGCTGAGCACTTTGCACGAGCACCGCTGAAACCAAAAGCCATGCCAGCAGGTCTCAAATTAGACTGCCGCTTTTCGTTTCAGGATGCTCTGTTTCACAGAAAGGCAGGGATGCAATCTCTCAGTCTCCCCACTGGCAGCCGTTTGGCTTCCTGACTCCTCCAGGGGTCCTCACAAAGGCTCCTGGAAAGCGATGCTCCCCTGCAGCCTGGGCGCCGGGCCCAGCTGCCTTTCAAGCAGTCAAAGGAGAAGTTTGGTTCCTACCCAAGGCAAGGTCTCTGAGAAAGGGGCGCTTCGCCTAGCTACCTTCTGCTGGGTTGTGCTTTCCACTGGAATCTGCTGCCTGGAGAGCCGGTTATTTATTTTTTGAAAGTTGTCAGGCTTAGTTCCGGGACGATGGGGGCTAATCTGTGCTTTTGTAAGGATGATAAAAAGACCTGAGCTTCAGACTTAACTCTTGATTTTTACCTTCAGCACAACTGCATTTTGCCTCTGTGTGGAGGCTCTGAGGGATTTAGCCTCCCTTGGTAAGGACAGGAATGGTTCCTGTCTTTGGGCAGCAGCTTCATGCCAAGTAATGGCCTTGCCACCCCAGTCACCCCTTAAAGTGCTCTTGCTAGCATCTTGTTTCCTAACTTTCTGGGACCGTCACAGTACCCCATCAAATATTTTCTGTGCTTCACCCCAGAAATGGCTGCACATTCAGATGTGGGCTACTTCCAAGCCTAATGCCTGCAAACCGAGTTTGTTCTTTAAGCAGCCAAGCAGTGCCCTGCCAAATCCTTCCCCCTCATGCATGACCTTACAAAAGACACTAGCAAGCCCTCCCACAGCTTGCTACAAAGCTGGCCGAGTAGCTTCTTCTAACAGAAGACCTCCACATCCTTCTTTCTCCTCCCTGAGTCTGTGAGCCTGGAGGAAAAAAAAAACATACCACCCAACAGATTCGAGGTCTGCAAATGCCAAGAAACAAACGGAGGAACGCGCTTACCCCATGCCAATGTCTGGATCTTTGCAGAAGGTATCAGCGTCAACCCGAATATGCCCCCTAGATGCAGCAGGCTCATGAGGATGATATTCCTCCAGACGTAACGCATGGGGGGCTTGGGGCCCTCTTTCTCCCGGTAGGTCTCATCAAAGATATCGTCTATCATGCCCCGGTCTCCTGCCAAGTCCTCATGATTGATTAAGTCCTTCTGCATGACGGCATCCCCATTCCTGGTCACCCGGGAGGTGACGGTGCCGACAGCGGTGGTGCTGGAAGCGGAGGAGAACTCCTTGGAGAGGCGGCAACGGACATTTTCAAGGAAGGAAAAAGGGAAAACAAAACAAGAAGTTGATGGTTACCAATGCAGGGAATAGACACATGAGCAGCGAGGCTGGCACTACCAAGACTCGCAGCCTGACGTTTCCCTGGCAGGCTCCGTTCTTTCAGCTGAACCCTTGGCACTAAGAAGAGCCTGCTCTGGCTCCACAGAGTTACGGCCTGAGAGGGAGAGAGACTGATCTCTCTGGGGAGAGGAGGTGAGTGGTGGACAGGGTGCAGGAAGTAAAGAAAAAGACTTGAAAGCCAGTCTTTTTTTCCACCAGTGGCTTTGGTAAGATCGTTTGCAGGCTGCAAGGATTTTCATTTTCCTACAGTTTTGTTAGTGGGCGGTTTTAGGTGGGCCTGTGGTCTGGGCCTGTGCATAAGCAGACAACAATAAAGGAAATCTTGTGAATGAACAAAGAGGTGGGAGAGAAATACGGTCTGAAACACGGGTTTATTATAAAACATTGGGCTGCTCCTGATATCCCGCGTGTTTGTGTCACCCCACTAGGGCCACTGGGGGAACATCAGGAAGGTCCATAACGGGATTCCTCTGGGGTGCCTCCTTATCTCCCCCTACCTCACCTTCCAGGTTGGGATGTGGCAAGACCAACACACCTGGAGATCAGCGGGCGGAAGCAGTCGAGCGATGTGCTTCCAGTTAGACATCCTTTCCCAGGGCTGCTGCTAAGCCTCTTATCCCTCTCCCGCTTTCCACCCACAGGCGAACTGAGGCACGGGAAGACAATCCCTCTGAGCCAAGGCCACCAGCAGGCAGCGAGGAAGCTTTAAGCAGCGAGTTGGCTCAGCCTGGCTCCCGGCTCCCTCCTGCAACCGTGACACAACATTCCCTCTGCACACTCTTGTTTGAGCTGGCTGAGTGACAGCCCGCCCGACCAGGCATGCATGACGAAAGGAGCAGGCAGGACTGACCCTAATGAGACAGGTCACTCAACCCTGAATCACCCATTTCCATCTCCATCATGACAGCCGCGTGCTCGCAGCCCTTTGTCAAGCCCGAGCCCAAGCGCCCGACGGGGCCGGACCCCGGGGGGTGCCAAGGACGCGGGATGCGAGCGGTGGGAGGGCACGCCGCCCCCATCCCCTCGCCTCCTGGGAACCTGCCCGAAGGACACTTCCCATCCCTCTGCCGCCCCCGCCGCTGCCTCCACGTGCGAAGGGGCAGTAAAGGTCAGCCGGCAGGAACCGGAGAGCCGGGACTGTGGGAGGGAGCGTGGCCAAGCCAGGAAAGCTCCTTCCCCAGTAGAAACCTCTTCTGAATTAACAACAGATTCCCACCCAGGCACCCGGGATTCCTAAAGACCACCGTCCTGCCATGGCCTAGTTTCCCGAGGGAGGCATTAAAATCAGGCCAGGCAGCTTACGTGGCCACCCCAACTCCTCCCTTTCCCAAGGGTAGAAACTAGAGGGTTACAGACATACCTTCCTACGGGGAGGAGCTGGCAAAGCTGAGAGATTCCCCACATTTGGGAAGTAAAATGATTTCTACAGAGGGAGCCCTCTAAGTTTTTTCCTTCTGGATTCAAAGGTTTAGAAAGGAAAAAAACCTGGACACAAAGTATCCCGCTGCTTTCTCCGAACCCAGGCAGCTGCCGAGCTCGGGACCGGCTCCCTCTGCATCCCAGCTATAGTCTGTCTCCGCCTGCTCTCCTAATTAATGTTTTGAGGGTATGATACTCTGAGCTGCTAGGGAATTTAGAGGCAAACACCCCCCCAAAAAAAGAGCTGTGAGAAACATCTTCTAATCCAGCAATTAGGCAAGGAAAAGTCCTGCCCATTTCAAAGTGTCAGATATTCTCATCTGGCATTTTGGCAGGAAGGCACAATTTTCTTCCTTGGCTAGAAGACAATCTACCAAAAAGACCTAAGACTTGTCTATGCAGGAAAAATTCCCAACAGAGATCTGGTGGTATAATTAGACGGGTAACGCTCCCCATATGGACATGCTGCTTCCAGAGTAAGAATGTGGGGTTGGAGTTGCATTTTTCTCCTTGGCGATAGCTTATGTCACTGTCAAAGTTACACAGGGGCAGAGGAGGAGGAGGGAAAGCACAAAGAAAACACCAGAGAGGGGAAAAAAACTCTTCTTCCAGAGTCATAATAGCCACATGAGGAACTTTACCAGCAGACCTATGCTGCTGGAATTACACTGATATAATCAAATTGGTCATTTCTCACATGTAAACTAACCATAAATCAAAAGGGCTATAAGGCAGCTGCGAAACACAGCTCTACCGTTACAGACTTGGTGAGGGAGCATGGGGGGAAGAGGCAGGGAGATCCGGCAGCTATTTAGCTGGAGACAGGGGAAATGAGGAGGAAAGGAAGAGGACTTTTACCCCCTGATGGCCATAGTGGCTCCTGCAGCTCCTACCGAGGAAAATGGGATGGGGATTGATCTGGGGTCTAGCGCTGAGAGGGGGAGGAGGCCAACTGAATCATTTTCAGGAGCTCTCCCTCATTTCTGAATGACTTTGCAGCTCTCATCTGCAGAACAGATGGATCTCCCCCCCCATCCCCCCCCCCCCCAGCATTGAACACACCATAGGTGATGCTGGCACCCTGCCAGCTTACACAACCAACTGCAGCTCAAAGGCTCCCGCGCTGGGTTCAGCCGCGGGGCCCCAGGGCACTCAGTCTTGGGTCCGGTATATTTGAATATGCCCGACGTGACCCAGGGACAGGATTCTTTCCAGCCTCTAGGATATGCCCCAAAATACATGCCAAGACCGTGAAACATGGTCTGAGCATACTGCCCTTGGCATCCATTTCGGGTGGGGGAAGAAGAGTAAAGTTCTTTATATCACAGCATCCCTGGAAGGTCACAAAAGGACCGGGGGAGACCCCGCGTGCTGGTGACAGGCAAGAGAGCGGGGCTCTGATTTACCTCCACTCCTCAGCATAGGCAGATGGGGGAAGGATGAGAAAGCGCGAGCAGGAATACCAGAATCAGCCCCTGCCTCCCCTCGGGCAAAGGGTGGCTGCCAGGAGGGGCAAAAATAAAGATCTCTAAAAGATCCAACAACTCTACGTATCTTCCTGGTGCCGGGTTGTTATTCAGGCCTTCCCATGCCAAAAATGGGCAGCCTCCCCCATTGTATGTTTGCTTGGCTCAGGCAATGCAGACACAGTCATTCATTTCATCTGGGCAGCTGCCTGCTTTCACCTTGCGTCTGTCCTAGAGACGCTCCCTGCTGCAACGTTTGCCTTAAAAACGCTGTAAGTGAAAGCCCTTTCTTATTACAAAAAAAAAAAAAAAAATTAAGAAAATTAAAAAATCACAGCCTGAGCACTACCCAAACCCCCACGACCTCTCGGCATAAAAGACCTTCTGAACAGCCCTAACTAGCGCACGTAGATGGTTGTTTTAAAGATAAACCTGTATTTTATGCTCAGTCTATCCGAGGGCATAGACTGCGGGGAGATAGTCCCGGCGGCGGCAATCGCCGCTTCATCCACGGTCTCCCCACGAGGCTTGGGTGATGTCTTAAGTTAGCACCGAACGACTTCGCCTCATCCAGCGGCACAGACAGAACACACGCACACACATACGTGTGCATACGTGTGTGTGTGCGTGCGTGCATGGACACGCGTGGATGCCCAGACCTTTCATCCCTCTCTCCCGCCCCCCCAGCAGCAGCGCAGCACCACCGGAGCCGCGGGGATGAAGGAGCAAGGGGCGAAGGGAAGACAAAGCCCCCGCACCCCCCGGCAGCCCCCCGCTTACCTCCTCCTGCAGTAAGTGCGCAGGCATGAGGCGGCCCTGGCTTTGCTCCTCGGCGGCGGTACGCGGGCGCGCAGCTCCCCGGCGGCGGCGGTGGCGGTGGCGGTGGGAGGCTGCTTCTCG